AAGATAAACGCTGATCTTTGAAAATCCATAATAAAAGTATTTTCTTCCGTTGGTAGTTGTTTAGCATTAGTTAAAAGTGTAATTATTTTGTAAAATACCTTTAAAATTAAAAAAATACATTAAACCTGTTTGCCACCTGACCGTTCCAAGTTACCCCGCCTATAAGGATAACGAATTTTTGAAAGACATAAAAAAGCACATTTCTACAATGATGAAGTAGCTGGCGGTTTTACTGAACGTAGTCAGATAGTTGTTTGTTTGAAATGTGTTATTTGATGTGATATAATTGGCTTGATTGTTATAATATAATTAGTATTTGCTCAAAGTCAAATTGGACCTTTGTGCCTCGCACTGCTCTACATATATACTTTTTATTAAATTTACTATAATTCATGGGATGTTACTTGAAACTTTTCAAAAAGCAGGTCAATGAAAAAATACTTAATTCATTTTCTATCTCTTCTCGCAGAAATTTGAAAATTTTGTATAAGCTCAGTAGTATTATTTACAATTATACACAAAATCCAGAATCCAACAAGAATCTGAAAGACTTGAAACGTAATCAATAAGTCGAAATACCAAAAAATACTTGGATTGGATTATACCATGTTTTATATAGAAAGTGTATAAAACTTTCAGTTTAATTGTATTGACTAAATATAGACAAACTAATGGGGTTTATTGTTTTTATAATACTTCATTGTATATAGCATTGAAGCAACACATCCTTATACACTAAAAGTATTAATAATTTAGATTCTCTAGAAATTGATTTGAATATTCCTTACTTAGCAAAACAACGTTCGCCGGGTCAGCTAGTATAATATATATATATATATATATCTGTGTGTGTATATATTAATGATGCTGGAACATATCTCTTATGATATGAGTGAATGCAGAACGATTTTCTCGTTCTGATACGTGGATGTGGATCTGCCTTTTCTCGAATGTGAAAATAAACTGCCCGAATGACGTCGGCGATGGAAATAGATGATTTCTCAACAGAAAAATTGTGGAGAAAAATTTTATACCGATCCAATAACAATAATCACGTACGGAGCATATATTAGAAATCGAACAGGGATGGAAAACATAATAATAAAATATATAGTCATAATACAAATTGTACATACAACTTCACTAGATATTGCATAGATTTCATTACATACTAGACAACCAGCATTGTTGGATGTTACAACTAGCCCTAAGGTTTTGGTACAACTAGCCCCAAATGTGATGTTTTCACATCAGTCAAGATAACTATTTAAATAATTTGGATGGTCACAGAAATTGTTACACATTATCAAAGATTCATAATTAACTTCCCGTAGGGAAGGGTAGTTATAGTAATGGGCCGAAAATCGAAAGTGAAAATTTTTGCATTTCTCGACGTTTTGAAGGTTTCTGAACATTTTGGCATACCTCAGAAAAAATGGATGCGTTCGTGCATGTGTGTGTGTGTGTATGTTTTGTTTGTCCGTATTTTGTCGTCCACGTTTTCGGGCGCACGGATCAACTGATTTAAATGGTTTGAAAAACATTCGATCCCTAATGATAGGGAGATGTGCTGATTAGTTTTTGGCAAAGGCAGGTCCAGCCGTTACGGAGATTCGAAGCAAAGAGTGCAGAAAATACACAATCGTGTTTTTGAGAGAACGGAGTATCGGATTTGAATGATCTAAAAAGCATTCAATTTGTAACGATTGGGAGAAGAGGTGATTAGTTTTTGGCAAAGAAAGGTCCCGCCATTTCGAAGATACTGAGCTAAATGTGCAAAAAATGGCAGTTTTTGAGTGAACTAAGCGTCCGATTTGAATTAATCAAAAAACTTTCTGCTTGTATTGACAAAACAATTGCTTTCGAAGATAAAAAAATATTACATCTTTCTTATTTTCCATAAAATATTTTTGTAATTTTGGATTAAAAATTCAAAAAATTACTCAGGCTAAGCACAGTCTAAGCGCCACTCTGGTACAAAGGTTTACCCAAGTGCGTTTAAACTGTTTTATATACTGGAGCACTTTTCCAATTTTGTGAAAACTATTGAAAAATGTGAAAATGCCGCTAAGCACAGTATTAGTGAAAATGTCGCACAGACTTATTTGCAAATGCGTTTAGACTGTGAATATACGGGAGCACTTTTTCAATTTTGTGTAAATTAGGCAAGTATTTTTTTTTTGAAATTAAGTTCGAAATGAAATGACGATTGTTAATGTTCTGGAGATAAATTGATTTATTTATAATTTACATTTGATTCGCTCAGATATACCAAGATAGCAAAAATAATGAAACAATTACAGTATTTGTAATAATATATTTGAAAACGTTTAAAATTTCTCGAATATTTCATCACGGTATGGGAAGTTCCAGCAATTTGCCTTAAGGCTCGAAGCCATACACCACTATGGCAAATAAAATTTAAAATTAGTCGATAATAATGGCGCATAATCGATATTTTATGACAATATAATTTTATATGTTACATGTCAAAAATGACGCACCTGCACACTTCTGTATACTGCGTCAGCTTTCGGGACAGTAGCTAGGCTGTTAGGACAATACTTGGAAGATGTTCAATTGAGACAAGAAAACTATTTTACTAGCCTATTGAAAATCGCTTGTTACTAATAGTTACCCTTGTTGCAATATTACAAATGAAACATAATTTACAAAAATACCCGACATTTATCAATCATCATAATTTCGATTCTGCAATGAATCAACATACCAAATATTGACTTAACTCGCGTCGAGTCTTTTACATATTTTCCTCGAATTATATATTATAACAATTTTATAAATTACAAAGATCAACATACATAAATTCAATGAAACCAGAAACCGACATAACTCGTAAGTAATTAAATATAAATTATGATTTTATCAAATCCAAACAAATTGGAGGATTTGTGCGCAATCCGTTCGGGTTATACCTAGAGAGTATTTAACGAATATAAATATTTACCGTGGGCAACGCAGCCGGCTGAATAAATATTCAAAAAATTTAACAAAATTACGTGCTGGTAAACGAATGAAAAATCGTTATTTTTTAAGTTTAATTGATGAAAAGTTAGGGTTTGCAAACATTGAAGCAAAATAAAGCATCGTACCTTAATGCAAATTGCAGGAACATTCCGTACCGTACACAAAAATGTTTGGAATACTTTTATTTTTTTTTTCAAAACTGAAAAAATTGGTTTTTGAGAGTTTGGAAATTTTTTAAATAAAATAGACAAAAATTTGATTATTTCAAATATCATTTTTTTTTTTTTTTTTTTGAAAATTCTCAACTATTTTTTAAAGTAATCGCGCAGCCTGAAACGTGAAGATATATAAAAAACTTCATTTTTGATTTTTTTGCAATTACTATAACTTACCCTACGATAAGTTAATTATGTTATTATTATTAAAGCTTAAAAAGTCTTCTTAAAATTAACCAGGGAACTCATAAACTAAAATCTTTTATTACAATGCCTTTATTACAATGTTGATCTGAATTCTATAAATCTGATTTTTACGCCTGGCTCATACGTCAAATGTCAAATGGCTTCGACAAATTATGTTCAACTAATGGGATGCATGTCATCGTTCCTTAAGGAAAATTGCTGTTACTTCCCGTACCGTAATTAAAAATCTTAGTACGAAACCCACAAAAAATACACAAAATGTGTACACATTATTAAAATCTCTATAAAATATCTGATAATTTGATGTACATATGTCTAGTAAGCATTTTTTGACCGCCAAATGACATTCTTTTAGCTTATTTTTATTGAGAGTCTATAACCGCTGGACCTGCCTTTCTAAAAATTTAATCATAAACAGACCAATGTTATTGCAAGGCCATGTTACGCTCCAAATTCCGTACATTATGCTATTGAATCATACTGAATACTGTCAAAATGTCATGTATTTGCTGTGCATTTAGGCAGTTTTTACACATAAACTGCAACGTCACTTGTATGTTATGAAGCTGGGTCATAAAAACCCTGTTATCTAACATCGTTTTTGACATTTGTGCGGTTTCTGGGTTAGGTTTTCTATCTGACAACATGAGAAAAACGCCTGACTGCATATCAACCACATGGCTTTTGACAATAGTTAGTACGAACACTTCTTCATAACATAGCCTTGCCATAACATTATACTATATTGGTTATCTACATATATATAAAAATAAGTCGGGTTTTCTTTCCTGACGAAATAACTCCAGAAACGCACGAACCGATTTCGACAATTTTGCATTCGTTGAAAAGGTTTCGCAAGGTTTGCAGCTAAGAAAATTAATGGTGCATGGCATCGTGCCTTAATGCAAATTGATGGAACTTCATGCACCGTAATTAAAAATTCGAGTAATGACATTAGTGAGAATTGTCAGAATTATGCTTGGTTAAGTCAACGAGCAATTCTTGCCGCCAAGAAATATGATGTACACGCACTGAATTTCACCATTCAATAAAAAATTGCTGGCGATTTGGTGACATACCAATGATTCCGACTGGTCTTCCGTTTGACTTCAAACGATCGCAATTTCCAGTTCGCCTTGCGTTCGCAATAACAAGTCTCAAGGCCAATCGCTTAGTGTTTGCAGGATAAATTTCAAATAGATTATTTAGAAAATTATTGTTTTTCACATGGGCAGTTATACGTTGCCTGTTCACAAGTTGGGAAACCGTCCGTTTTGTTTGTGTTAACGTCAGACCAAAAAACAAAAAATGTGGTTTACCAAAGAGCACTGCAATGAAACTGATAATTTGCGGATTGACTTTTATTTACTTAGAGAAGTTCAACTGAAAAACACTTCATTTTTGTAATCGAAATAAATTCATTACTGTTGTATAATAAAATCAAATTTTTCTTTTTCAAATATAAAACAAACAAAAAATTTCTTCATCTTTCTCACGAAACCATCTGATGGTGCTGAAACGGAGTTTGTCGGGTTTGCTAGTATTATATATATCCCTTCTACCATCAACTACCATGTCTATTATCCTTACCTTTTTGCATCTGGCCAAAGCCGCGATGGTGATCAGGTTACCAGGAATCCCGATCAGGGCGAACAGCAGGCAGGAACATGCTGCCAATTCCAATAACCAATCGGGATATCCTTCGAACAAAGTTATTTCACTCAGTGTCAAATTTTCACTTTTCAAATCACCAAAAAATATTGTCGGCGCCACTGCAGGCCGATTTTGGTCGAATAAGGAACCGTTGGGGACGTTGTCCCATTTTTCGCCCAGGGAGGGCAGGAGGTCGACCATGGTAGAAAAAAATAATGGATTTAAAACATTATTTTAATTGGAATGTTTGTTGGTTTAGATAGAAAATATTGGGATGTGTTGAACATGTTTTTAGAATTATTCCCACATTTTTAGAATCTCAAGTTTTAGAACTATTCCCACATTTTTAGAAATTTTGTTAACATCTTTTAAAATTAAATATTGTTCGGTTAATATTTTTTTTAAAGCAACAAATTCATATTGATGTTTTTTATTTGAACGTAATATTTATTAATAATTAGCAATATTAATATATGATATGATATTATTTTGTTTATATAAATAATTGTTATTATTATGTAAACAAACTACACTTAGTTTGTCCACAAATTTCAACACTTTTCATCTTCATTCACTTTTCATTTTTTCACTTTTTTCACTTTCAACAATCAACTTTTTGTCTCAATTTTTATTCAAAATTATGTAGAATTCACACCGAAGTATATATCTGTAAATAAAAAAAAATTAATATATTAATTATTACTTAATATTAATTTAATTGCAAAATATTTTTGTGTGCAAGATCCTAAAATATATTATGTTACAAAATAAATTTACATTTATATCACTATTTATTAAATAAAATAAATTATTTGAATTAAAAAAAAAAAATACTTTTAGCATACGGTTAGCTCAATTTCGGTAAAACATTTTGTGGTCGTTCAAAGGAATTTACATTCAAAACTAGTGGGGCGCATGGCATCGTGCCTTAAGGCAAATTGCTGGAACTTCCCATACCAAAAATTTTTTTTAAAAAAGATTAACATTTTTGAAAAAAATTTACTCTGAAAAAATTAGATTTTTGAGAAACCATAAGTTTTTGACAAAAATTTATTTTTTTTGAAAAAAAAAAACTTTTTGAAGAAAAATTTATTTTGAAATATTTTGGAAATTCTGAACTTTTTTTCAAAGCAATCGTACTGCTTTAACGACATAGAGACGAAATATCGAAGCGCTTAAGCGCCGCGTCGCCAACTAACGAATAAACACTGGTACGGAACCCATAGGAATGTAAACAAAATTTATACTTATTGTTAAAATCTCTATAAAATATCTGATAATTTGTTATGCATATGTCCAATGATCATTTTTGACCGCCAAATGGCATTTTTTTTTACTTTTTTTAACTAGATCTCCAAAACTGCTAGACCTGCCTTCATAAAAATTTAATTAGTAGTGCATCTTGTTAATACAAGTAAAATGTTTTTTGAATTATTCAGATCGGACACTCCGTTCCTTCAAAAACTGAGTTACCGTTTTTGGCACTTTTTGCCCCTTATATTCGAAACGGATAGACCTGTATTCGCCAAAAACTAATCAGCACGTCTCCTTATCAATACAAATGTAATGTTTTTTGAATTATTGAAATCGCTTCATCCGTGTTCCCGAATTTGTCGACGAAAATTTGTATCCGCACACACACACATACACGCACACACACATACATCAATTTTTTCTAAGGTATGCCAAAATGTTCAGAAGATTTTGAAACGTAAAGATATATAAAAATTTTCATCTTCGGATTTTTTGGGATTACTATAACTTGCCCTACGGGAAGTTGAATATAGTACATGTTTTATATAATTTTATAGTATGTGTATTTTTTTGTGTTCCTTGTATATATATACATTTATTTTACAATAACATTTGATAACTAAATTAATTTATTTTTATTTCCACGCCCATTTTATTTTTAGATCCCCAAATGAAATTTGATGTCAAAACAATGAACATTTTCAGAATCCTTATAATCTATTTATCTCTAAAACAAACAAAGATTGTCATAGATAAAGCAAACCATATTATAGATTTCGCAAAAATATTTCAGAAACATCATTAGAATAGATTGCAAGATAATCTTATCTATTTCGTTTTGTCTGATTATATGTCTAGATAATTTAGTGAATAATTTTATGTGGAAATAGATAGAGAGATAAAAATTAAAATATAAAATAAATTTTTGCCAAATTTTAAATGCAAATTTTTGTCCACGATTTTGAAAGCACGGATCGACCGATTTGAATAATTCAAAAAGCATTTGCTTGGCTTAGAGATGTGCAGATTAGTTTTTTGCAAAGGCAGGTCTAACCGTTTTGAAGATACGGAGCAAAAGTACAAAAAATAGCATTTATTGACAGATTTTAATGATTTAAAAAACATTTTACTTTTGTTGACAGTATAAAAAATAATTAGTTCTTGGGAAAGACAAAACAGTCTTTTTGGTGTATTTCAAAATTTCATTTTGTTTCAAAAAATATTTTATAAAATATCGAAAATTATTCAGATTTTAATTCGCCATAAAATACTAAAGCTCACTTGTATAATTCAAATGAATAATTTTAAGTTTGCAATTTAGTTCTTAGAAATATGAGATAAGGTTCTTTAGTCTGCTTGAATTAAGTTTTGTTTGTTTACTTTTTAGGTAAACAAAAATTTAAATAATGAACGTTACAGTATTTATAATAATCTACTTGAAAACATTTAAAATTTCTCGGATATTTCATTACATTACGGGAAGTTCCAGCAATTTGCCTTAAGACACGATGCCATACATTTTTCTAAATATGCTATATTTCTTATTTCTATTTCTTATCAATAAATTGCATAACCACAAGTACTCACAAATCATAAACATCACCAAAAATCACTTTTACAATAAAACATATTTAATTATTTTTACCAAAATCACTAAAATCACATCTGATCGCTTCTAAATACTAACTTTCTATTAAGACAAACAGTTTCGATTTGACTATATATAAATTTTTCGAGTAAACAAATTATATTCAGTCATTTATAATTCTTATCAATGGATTCGTGTCTTATCAATCGACATTGAGCTGTTTGTTATCATTATTACTAAGACGATTTTTTTTTTAATTTAAATTCTGTCAAATTGCCGTAAATTCTTTGAAAGATTACGCTTGGCACGAGGTAAAATGATATATCGAGATTGATAAAGGAATTCTAGAAAATTAATGTTTTGACTAAAAAAAATTGATATTATATTTCCAATTATTTCTTATACCTTCCATCTGCATATCGATTTCTATATATAAATATTCCGAAGATATAAAATTCCTTTGGAATAAATATATAGAGCATGATGGTAGGTTCGATGAACTTTTTGTCATTAAAATAGAATAAAAAAGATAAGATTCTAATGTGTCGGAATAGTAAACAAATTATTTTAAATATGGCAACATCTCATTATCGTAGTATTAATATTATTGCTATTAGTCATAAAATCATAATTAATGCGCCTTATGTCAACAAATCGAGAAATGCATAGGAAGAGATCTGGTGGGTAAAGTAAGGGATTGAAAAATTTAGACAGTAAAAAAATCCAAAATCTTACGTACTTAGTTCAACTTATCTATCTAAAAAATATCTATCAAAGTTTGTTGGAGAAAAACATGAAAGAGACATTTTACACTTGCTGAATTAATTGGTATTATTAAATTTCGCTGATCTAACCAATTTTCACCATCGATAAAACTAAAATTATGGATCGATTCTTGCATAATTTGATTTGCAAGATTATGCCGTTGTAGAAATATTCCCCGATGCGCACAAACAGTATATATTTGATGAATGGTTTACAGAAAAAACAAAAATATCATAACATGAAGATACAATAGTTTTTAGAGAAAACTTGGTAACAAAAAAATCTCTGGGAAGTCTGGGAAATTTAGGCACATTTTGAAGTTAGTAGGATTACTTGGAAAAAATACGAGATTAGTCTATTCTTGAACTGTATTTTGAAAAAGTCCTTAATTTTCCACAAATTTTGTATCTATTTCCACTAGCTGATCCTGAATTTCGTTAATAAAATGGTTCAAAAATAATCAAGCAACCATGTTGAATTCCAAGAACTTTAGAAGACTCATTAAAAAAAAACTTCAAAAAATTGAGAAGACTCATCTTAAAGTCAGTAAGATTTTTGGAAAAAATATGAGATTCCTAAACTGTATTTGGATAAAGTCCTTATTTTTCCTTTTTTGTATCTATTTCCACTAGTTGATCCTGAATTGCCATTGACTTAAGAAGAAAATTCTTTAAAAAAAGCAACCATGTTGTTCAATTACAAGAACATGAACAAAAAATTAGAAGATGCATCTTAAAGTTAGTAGGATTTTTGGAAGAAATATGAGCTTAGTCAATTCCTTGGATAAAGTCCTTATTTTTCCACAAATTTTGTATCTATTTCCTTTAGTTGATCCTAAATTACCATTGAGTTGAGAATAAAATTAATCAAAAATGATCAAGCAATGTTTGTTGATTAAATTACAAAAAAATGGATAAAAATTTAGAAGGCACATCTTAAAGTCAGTCAGGTTTTTTTTGGAAGAAATATGAGATTAAGCTATATTTGGATAAAGTCCTTAATTTTCCACAAATTTCGTATCTATTTCCACTAGTTACCTGAATTTCCATTGAGTTGAAAATAAACTTTATCAAAAAATCATCCAACAAAGTTTGTTCTTCAATTCCAGGGAATGGACAAAAATTTAAGGCACATCTTAAAGCCAGTAAGATTTTTGGAAGAAATATGAGATTAGTCAATTCCTTAACTGTATTTGGATAAAGTCCTCAATTTTCCTTAAATTTTCTATCTATTTCATCTAGTTCATTCTGAATTACCATCGAGTTGAGAAGAAAATCATTCAAAAATGATAAAAACAACCTTTATTGTTCAATTCCAAGAACATGGACAAAAATTTAGGAGGTGCATATTTTAAAGTCAGTAGAATTCTTGGAAGAAATATGGGATTAGTGAGTTCCTATACTGTATTTAGATAAAGTCCTTATTTTTCCTCAAACTTTGTATCTATTACCACTAGTAGATCCTGAATTACCATTGAATTGAGAATAAAATTATTCAAAAATGATGAAGCATCGATTGTTGTTCAATTCCAAGAACCATTGACTTACGAATTACCATTGACTTACGAAGAAAATTATTCAAAAATGATCAAGCA